GGGGATGCTTTCCTGTCTGGGATCCTTGCTTCTTCCTTGTGACAGAGAGAGGTTCCCTTCTTGTGGTAAAGATCCACCCTGACGTCACAGCTGGGGACAGGGTGGAGAGATCCAGCCCTGAGCCCTGAGGGGAACAGGGGCTGAGGGCAACCAGACTTCCACCTGCCGCCCCTTCTCAAGGTCCTCTGAGTCCCGGCCAAGGTCTGGAGGCTGGTGCAGGATATCTGTGTCCCTGGAGTGCTAACATGGAGAACGGAGAGCCTGCCAGAGAGGAACTGCTGGGATAACTTGGGGTTTCCTGCACTCTCTCTGCTGTAGACTCTCTCAGCAAACTCCTGGGGGGAAGCTCCCCTACCTTCTGTCTTCCAAACTCCACCAACCTGCCTCTTGGACTTCCTGTTACAGTCCCTCTCCAGGGGCTGCCTCCTGGAGGGACAGACACTGCAGGGGGCTCTTTCCAGGAGTGCTCAGTGGGGAGCCAGCCCCTCAGGCCTCAGAAGCCTGGACAGGGCGCGGGTGCTGGAGCGCATGAAGCCGTGTCTGTGAGCCGAGGACGTTGGCAGGTTTTCTCCACGAAGGGGATGCCCTCACAGACAGCAACCCCTTGGCTCTCCAGGGTCACAGGCTGACCCGTAGCTGTCTCTCCCTGTTGAATTCAGAGTCCGGGAGCCTGGTTTCAATTGCGCCTGGACATTATGTGTAAGGAAGTGTTCCAGTGCTGAATGCTGAGGAGCTGGCTTGCCTTTTTCAAAACTCTGACTCACTCCGATCGTATTTTTTTACTTCTTGGTTTTCAGTTGGACCTGAGAGTCGTGGTGGTTGCAGAAGAGAGGTGCTATAGCTTACATGGTTGAGAGTTTCTCCAAAGCACTTTTACAAGTTAGATTATTATTTCCATATCACAGATAATGAAACTGAGGAAGAAGATGTACTTAAAGGTCAGTTGACAGGCAGATCTCTAGCTCCCAGCCCTGTATTTTCAGAGACAAACCCAGACATCATCCATTAGAGACTCCACAAGTCCTTTTCTGAAGGAAGAAGAAAGAAGAGCACCCTCGTGACATTTATAAATTGCTAAGTGAACAGCCTTTTAGCTGAGAGCCCCCATTCTTCTGAGTTCCCACTGGAATTGTGCCAGAGGAGTTAGGCTGTGTACCTTGGAGCAGACTCCCTAGCTCGGGTCCAATTTTGCCCCTCACGAGCTGGGCAGTCTCTGGCAAACGCCTTAAATTCTCCGTGTCTCAGACTCCCGGCTGTGAAATATGAATACTAATATGCCACAGACCTCATAGCGTGAGGTAACAGAAGAGCACGCTTAAGCGCAGCACCTGTCGTGTAGGTTGTATTATTCTGATGTAGGTAGGTGATTGTGCTCCTCAGTAAAGGAAGGAACCAGCCTACAGCAGGCACGATTACACGGGAGGATGCGAGAAGGAAAGCCAGATAAAGGAGTGAGTGCTTTAGATGCCGTGTAGTCAGAATGAGAGACTGGTTGATCACATTGAGGCTTCTCGGGAGGCAGGTTCCCGAGCTGACGCCTGTCAGGGGCACAGTGTGGGTGCTGCACAGAGAGGCTGAGGTGCCAGGAAGTGGCAGTTGTCACTCTAGGGCTGAATGACTCCGTGACTCATACATGTTAAGCTCCATACAACAGTACTCAATAACGATAGCTGTTATTTACATAGAGCTCAAGTCTTTACCTTCCCCATAAGCTAAGTCCCGTCCCGTATTCTAGATACATATAAATTATGTGCACCCAGGGCAAGCTGGGAGGGAGGGAGAGTTGCCCAGAGGCAGAGAAAAAACATTCTTAGATGACAAATGGTCATTAGCCGGGTCTGTAAAACTGTCCGTGGCCAGAAAGCCACGGAAATTGATGACCATGCCACTCTTCAGTCCCATAAAGGGGGGAGCCATTTTTTCCCCCCAAACCAATTGATTACATTTATTTACATATCACAAAGAAAGGTAGAGAACTTGAGCATTCAGTGTGGACTATGTTCTTGGTGACTTACATACATTATCTTTTTAAATTCTTACAACCATATAAAGTAGGTATTTTTTCAGAAGAAACAGAAATGTGGAGATGAAGAAACTTAACCAAGGGCACACAACTAATGAGTGACAGAAGTAGATCACAAGATCTGACTCCAAAAACCATGTCCTTTTCATCTCAACACACTGCTTCTGGTAAATTCAATAAGCCGTCAGCTTAAAGACCAGCGAAAGGAGATGGAAAACTATAGCAGCTAACACTGTTGGGAGCTAGAGAGATGCAATCTGCAACAAATTATGGAAATTAAATATATATATATATAATGTATATTATTATGTGTATGTATATTACTTGTATATGAAACAGGACAAAATTCCTGAACCATTTCTGGTAGAGGATGTGCCTTAACTTGTTTCAGAATGAATTGCTCCCAAGACATTCTGAATCCAAAGTGGGGAGTCCTTTTAAAATGAGTTGATACAGACAAGGCTTTTTGGTTGCTGGGGAAAGGCCTCAGGAATTGGAGCTGCTGGGTCAGTTCCAGGGTGTGTTTGCTCTGAGTTCTAGGATTCTGGTAGCCTAAGAATGGCCTACTATACAAATAAGCAGATTTTCTTGGGGTGGGGGTGGGGTCATTATTCTAGAAAGACAAGGATTGTTGCCCGAGGGTTGAGTGAGCTTGTGTGCAGCTCGGGGAACAACTGTGTCCTCCGCAGGCCCCACGCCTATGTCCACCGCACCCCAGCCTCCCCAGGAGCAGCCCTCTTTCCTGTGTTCCAGACTCCCAGGAACCGTTCTCAGGGTGTGCAGCCATGCGCTCATCTGCCTGACCCTGAGAGAGCGCCACCCTGTGGCGGCTCGCTGGGGGTCTGTGGGGATGTATTCCTAGCATGTATCTCTCAGCAAAGATGGGCAATGGCAGACCGCCAGGCTGATCAAGAATTCTGTCTTGCGCTGGGCATATTCTAGGTCGGGTGAATAGGGTTAGTTGGTGGACTTAAGTAAACAGAGAAAGACAAATATGAGAACCCGCAAAAGCACCAAATGGAAAAGAGCAGGGCCAGGGCAGGTCGCGGTGAATTCCCCTGTGGCCGGAGCCCAGGCTCGAGAAAGATCCGGGTGGGCCCGGGCCCTAGGCTGTAACTCTGAGCAGAATCTGTAGAGGGAAATCAAGGTAATAAGGCCGCCCGTGAGTGAGACATTTAGTGAGGGGGACTGAGTAAGGTGAGGGTGTCCCCCTGCCTGCAGCCTGTTGGGACAGGACTGGAATCGGGTCTCCAGGCCTGACCCCCAGAAGCAAAACAGAAATGGAACCCTTGCCTCGCCTAACAGGCTTGTTCGAGAAGCCAGTGAAATGATGAAAATGAAGGAGCTTTGAAAAAGAAAATGTTTAAGACAATAAGGTGTTGAGGCAGGGCTAAAAACAATAGCCCTGTTTTTAATAGGGTGTCATTTCTCGCGTGACCACATCCATTCCCCACGAAATCCTGCTTTTGGTGGAGAGGAAAGGGGAGGAGGGGGCCGAGCCGGCAGAGCAGGACTGCAGACGCTGCAGGGCTTCCCGGCCCCCGGAGGCCCTGAGAACAGTCTGGGTGGTACCGGACGTGCAGCACCCCGTCTGTGTCAGGCACCCGACAGATCTGCCCACAAACCACCGGCAGCACCCCAGAGGGCCCCCCCGAGGCACCCCGCCGGCGGGTGGGCTCAGGCTTCGCCCCCAGCGGTGGATCGCCCGGCTCCCCACCCTTTCAGAGAATGGGAGGGGTTTCCAGGTGACTCATATGAATACAATGCAAAAAATAAAATAGGGACAATTACATTATTCTAAGCAAGTCAAGGACCAGCCTCACATTGTGTTCTAACTTATCTCCGGATCAGAAAAGGAAGTAAGAAAGGGCTTGGCTTTATTTCTCTCAGAACAAGAACATTTCTGTCCTTTGCTTTCTCCGAGAGAACACCGGTTCCTAGGAAGTCGTAGTAACTTGAGTAGTAAGGGAAATGAGCGCCCGCGGGGAGGCGGGGCAGGGCAGGCTAATGGTGATGGGATGGCTTAGGAGGCGGATGGGTATTTTTATCCCAGCTCTATGACCGGGGGCAAATCGCTTAACCTTTGGGGGCCTAGTTTCTCTAGAAAATGGATATAATAACGGTGCCTTGCCTCACGAAGATCCAATTAATAAATCTGCGCCAGTTGCCGTGCCCAGAAAACAAGCCCTTCATAAATGTAGCTAATATTGTATTCGTACGAGTATTTGGTGTGTGTTACCTTGTCGCCTCCTCTCCTTGGCTGTTTTCTTGGAACATTGCAACCTCCCGTGTGCCCGGCGTACCTGGTGATGCCCTCTAAAGTGTGTGATTCTCACAAAACTTTTCGGCCTTATTGCTGTCTCCTCTCCCCCCCCCCCACACCCCCCCTAACTAGAGCCTCTCTCTTCTGTCCCATGGTGTCCCAGCTTCCCCATCTGGGCAGACCATCAGCCCTTTGTCCTCCCGGTCTCTCCTATGATGGCGACAGCCATTAATTCCTGAGTGCCATGAGAGCCCAAGGGGCTCCTAAGGAGGTGTGGACTTGTGTCCTGGCTCTGGCACTGATCCTGACCGCCCCTGGGCTCAACGGCATCACTTTTCCGCAAATGATAGTAACAGCCACTTGACAGGGGCGGTAGAGATCTGGAAGGTAAAGTGCAGGGCATGGGGGTGGCGTGTGGAGGTGATTAAGAGCATGCGCTGTGGGACTCGGACAGCCGAGGTTTCCAATCCTTGTGGCTCAAGTGATGGTGAGGAGGTCCCTTCACCTCCGTAAGTACCAGCTTTCTCTGTTCCCTGGGGATAACCGTAGCCCCTGCCTCTCAGGATCCCTGCGCAGGGCCCGGCAGGTGCATGCAACAGGTGTTACCCATTACATTACCCGCAGCGGACGGGACACCCGGCCGAGGCGGCCCCCTGGAGCGGCCGGGGAGCCCGCCGGCTGAGGGTCAGCGACTCCTCTGACTCTTCCCCGCAGGGCTGTATGTGCTGGTTGGAGCAGGGGCCCTGATGATGGCTGTGGGCTTCTTCGGGTGCTGCGGAGCCATGCGGGAGTCGCAGTGTGTGCTCGGATCTGTAAGTGGGGCGTCGGGGGAGGGAACTGGTCTGAAGCGGGCCCCCAGATCTGGCCTCCAGCGCCAGCTCCTGGGGCCCGCTGAGACCTTGGCACTCACTCCCTCCTCCCTGAGTCTCCGTTTCTCCATCTCTTGCTTAAGAATAATATTATCTTTGTCCCTGCCTCATATGGAAAGTATGAAAAATATGAGGTCATTAGCGTGAAGATGTTTGGGGAGGAAAAGTGCCTAATAATTGTAAGGGATAATTATGATTGCTCTTTCAAAATTATTTCACAGTGAGGGAGGCAGCTAAGGTTCCTATAGTCAGGGAAGTGCTGTTAACTATAAGAAAAGAATTGCTGTTTGAGATCAGTAACTTCACCAAACATTCCTCTTGTAGTTTATTTTATTAAGCAGCCTCTGTCCTGAAAGAAAGAGAGAGAGAGAAAGAAAGAAAGAAAGAGGAAAGGAAAAGAAAAAAAGAATGAATTTTAGTTACTACTATACATCCAATACCAGAGTGACCTGAGGGAGACAAGGAGAAGGAAGAGGGGCTGGAAGAGAGAATGATTTTGTCTGTCTCCACGAGGGGTCTAGAAACAGCAATTTTAGGGGGGCAGTCTCTCCTTACTTGTTGCAATCTTTGACTTTTAACTGTGGCTGATGCTTCTGATCTCTTGCTGAGTAAAATATCTAATTCATCTCCTCAGTCCTCCATTCTTCCTGTCTTTCCCCTGTTGCTGAGCATCCCTGTCATTTATCACTGAACACAGAGCAGACCCAAGAGACCAGAAGAGAAATCTGTCCAGGAGGACAGCCCTCACTGCCACTCCCACTCCCCAGAGAAGCCTCACAGCCCACACAGTCTGGGCCCCTTCTTCCCCAAGCCCAGGCCCCACCAGTTGCTCCCTATGTCCTGGCCTTGTTTTATATCTTTATGGAATCTCTTTGGTTCATCAAGAATTCATTGAGCACCTAGGTGCGAGGCACTGTTTTAAGTGGTGGGATTTCTTTATCACTACCTGAAATTATCTAACTCACTTTTTTATTGCTTTACTCATTTATCATACTTCCCATTTTCTTTTTTTTTTTTTTACTATTATGTTCAGTTAGCCAACATATAGTACATCATTAGTTTTTGATGTAGTGTTCAACGATTCATTAGTTGCGTGTAACACCCAGTGCTCATCACAACACGTGCCCTCCTGAATACCCATCACCTGGCTACCCCATGCCCCCCACCCCCCTCTGAAACCCTCAGTTTGTTTCCTGGCGTCTAGAGTCTCTCATGGTTTGTCTCTCTCTCTGATTTCTTCCCCTTCAGTTTTCCCTCCCTTCCCCTGGGGTCCTCCGCGCTATTCCTTATGTTCCACATATGAGTGAAACCATATGATAATTGTCTTTCTCTGCTTGACTTATTTCACTTAGCATAATCCCCTCCATGTCAATGCAAATGGTACATATTCTTCCCATTTTTCTAATAGGAGGTCCGTGATAGCAGAGATGTGGGTGGGGATCATATCTTATTCACCGCTGTATACCCAGGGCCAAGGACAGTGCCTGGTGCAGAGTAGATACTTAATGATAATTGCCGAATGAATTAATGAGCAAGTGAATGAATGAACAAACTACAGGGGAATGGAGGTAGATGCTTCCTACCAGATCAATGCAAACTAATAAGCTCGCCTAATGTTGTTTTTTTTCCAAATGAAACTAGCATTAAAGAGGCCAAATAAATTGAAAAGGTATTGAGTTAATGAAGTGAGTATATTCTCTTCTCTACAGTTCTTCACCTGCCTACTGGTGATATTTGCTGCTGAAGTAACCACTGGAGTATTTGCTTTTATAGGCAAGGATGTAGTAAGTAGAAATTACAATTTCTTTTTACAATGGTTAAAGGCTTTCTTTGCAGCAAAGGCTATGAGAATATTACACCCACAATGATATTGGAAAACTAACCCCCAAGATAATCGTTTACACATAACTTTTTAACCTAGAAGTATTATGCAGACCTGTGCATATTGTATGTATAAGTGTGCATACATTTACTTGCACACATTTTTCTGAGGAGATAGTTCATAGCTTTCATTAAATCTATAAAAGAGTCTATGATTTCTTTTAAAGGATCTCTAGTTTAAGATGATCCCATTTGTAATGGGGAAGTGGGTAGATTGCACACATGAGAAAGAGGGATGGAGAGGAACATGCATTTTCATCCCTTGTTAGACTATCATTTGTCCATAGGGCTTGGCCTGAAAAGAGGTCACGTCATCCTCAAAGACTAAAGCCCGACCTGCTGTGTATTGGTGAAACCAGTTTATTTAAATTGGTGTTCAAACTACAGGTGTCCAAAATAGGTTATCAAGAGAACCCACAGAGGAAATGGCCTTTTCAGAAGGGACACACTGTGTTAAGACACTCTGTGGGAAAGCAGGGCATGAAAAGGAGGAAGAATGGAATCTTAAGTTTACTGTATTTCACATAAATTCATGTGCTATCAGTATAGTGTTTATGAACTTTAGATTTCTTTTAAAAATGGTAAATATGTAGAATAAATAAATATCACCTCCTTTGGAATATTTCTAAAGTAACTGGTTCTATCTTTTGGTTGGAGGAATTGGATCTTAGGACCTTTTGAAATGCTATGGATGTCAGATCACCTGCCTTTATACCAGAAAAAGCATTCCCTAAGTTCATATTATATTTGTATGCTGAACCAATTTTCCTTGGTCATGAATATTTTTCAAACCATGTCATGAATAGACATGAGTACTTTTAACCAGTAGGGTACCAAAAAGGCGTAAGTCACCACTCTGGCTATACATCAGAATCTCCTGGGTAGGCCCAGGAGTCTGGGGGCTGATGGATGCTGATGTCCATTCAGGTTTGAGAACCTCCACTCTGAGAAATCTTTCTAGTCTATGAAAGTTATTCTTGGTTAGTCTATCCTTCCATCTCCAAAAGTATCCGAGAAACTCCAGAGTCTGTAATCTGTCCCATATTTGGAGAATTGTCTTAAAATACAGCTAAACATAGGGAAAGGCTGTATTTTCCAAGGGTAAGGAAGAGGGGTTTTCCTTGATGAAATGAGAATGTTTGAAACTTCCCACTCACTGTCCCCTTGGTTTCCTGATATTTTTTCAGGCTATACGACATGTTCAGACCATGTATGAAGAGGCTTATAATGATTACCTGAGAGACAGGGAAAGGGGGAACGGGACTCTCATTACCTTCCACTCAACAGTAAGTAACTTTACTTCTTCCTTAAAATCATATCTTCTAAAGAGCATTCATTAGCCAGCTTCTCTCCCATCACCTGGATCAGGGTAAATTTGGTGAAATGAAGCCTTAGCCCTATATTTCAGCCCTCACGGGAGCCACAGTTGACAGTCTGTGTAGAACCTAGAAGAGGAAGAGGCCTAGCACAGAGGGTTCACAAGAGGAAGTCAAGAAATGTGCCCCAGAGAGACAAAAGAGCACAAATAAGAACACCCAGAAAGCAGCCCAAATAAATACCAAGGTCTCTCAAAAGGTGGCCTAGTGGTGTAACAGAAACAACCACGACCTTCAAGTCGGACAAGCTCAGTTCTAGCTGCAGCCCTGCCACTGAGCAGCTTCGTGACCTTGAGCAAGTTCCTTGTCTCCCTGATAATCATTCAGCTCCCCATTTGTAAAATGAAAGGGCATGGACACAGCCATGCTCCCTTTATCCTGGAACGTTCCATGGGACTGTGCTTTCAGTGCAGTGCTGACGGCTGCACACAATTAACCAAGGAGGGCACACAGAGGAGATGGGCCAGGCCAGAGTCTTAAGCCCTGCGATATGGAGAAGTAGCTATGAACTCCTGTGCCAAGTGCTATCAGGTAGCGCCATTCTTGTTCATCACGGGAATGTCCTGGAAGGTGCAAACCATTTCTCCTTCTCAGCCTCAACTGCCTCCCGGGACATCAAGCAGCACACACTCTCCTTTGTCCTGGAAGGGCCAGCCATAAGGCAGGCTATGTGTTCGCTGGCCAGCCTTCAGGCCCTGACCTGTCAGCCTCCAGGGTTTATTTACTGTGGTCACTTCTCCTCTCCATCCCAGACTGTCCCCAGTTAATGAGCCCTTCCTGAAGCTCATAAAACTTTAGCTACTCAGCAGGTTAAATTACCCCCAGGCTGAAAAAAAAAAAAAAGAACCTAAAGACCGAATTCCTGTCTAAAAAACAGCAATTTACACAGACACCGTCAACTGCCTTCTCGCTTTGTTTGGGTTGCCTTGAGTCACTTCCCGTCGGAAAACTCAGAAAACTTTACAGAAGTCCTTTTCTTGTTTTGCTAGCACGATTATGTGAGTCTTCACTGTCTTTCTAGAAAGGGCAGTTTGGGTTGCAGTGACTGGGCCCCCCGGGGCCTCAGCAGTGACGCCCAGACATGTAGCTCCCACTTCTCCCTCCTGTGCCCTAAAAACTCTTCTCTGACTCTAGTTTCAGTGCTGTGGAAAAGAAAGCTCTGAACAGGTCCAACCCACATGCCCAAAGGAGCTTCTAGGGCCCAAGGTAAGCTTCTCTACCAGGGTCCCTATCCCACCTGTCATGGAAGATGGTTCTAGCCCATGGGGTGATGGGTGTGACTCTAGGAGGCCCTCTCCCGGGGACTTCTGTGCCTCAGCTCTATTCTATGTAAACTAAGTGAAGCACGCCAAGTCCCAGTGTCCTGGTACCCTGGGAAACGATGGTATGCTGACTTGCCCATAATGGGGCAAATGCTGTGGCATTAATTAAACTTGCCAGGGCCAGGGGTGTGCACCCTGAGAATGTTGCCCCACTCCTCTCCGTGGAAGTCACTGATAAATGCTTCACTTATTAAGTGCTTTGTGGCAGGCACCATGCCAGGGTCTGAAAACTCTCAGCTGAAGAACATGGCCCTTGCGTCCGTGGCCTCGCAGACTAGTCAGGGGAGAAGGTGCTCTGCCTGGTCTGTACAGAGTGCAGTGGACACAGTGGTATTAGGAAAGCTTCACAGAGGCTGGAATCCTTGAGCTGCATTTTGATAAGGGAAGGTCATCCCAGGGCCAGAAAGCAGCGGGAACGGAGGTGTGGCAGAATGGAACTCCAGGAAAATAGGGACTCCAGAGGGGATGGTGAGGGACGTGTTTGGGGAGGTAGACAAAGGCATGATTTTACACCTGGAAGGTTGGGACAGGTGTTGCTTTTAGCAGAGGATTAACATAGTCAGTATTGTATCATAGAAACAGTACTCAGGCTGCCGGATGCGACAGATAGAATAGAAGGTTGGAGAGTGATGGAGGGAGGCTGCTTCAGTGACACTTGTGGTCACCCTGGTAGGAGAGGATGAGGAGCTAATGCAAGTGACAAGCAGTAGGAAGTGAGAGGAAGCAGCAGATTCCAAAATGTTCAGGGTGGAATCCACAGGCCTCTTGCATGTGAGTGGGGAGTGGGAGGGAGGAAGGTAAGACTTCAGACTTCTGCTTGGGCAGAATGGGTGGGTAGAGGCTCTGCTCCCCGTGAGAGGTGAATATAGGGAAAGGAGCAGATCCTGGGGCAGTTTTGGTCAAGTTTGCCCTTTACGTGCCTGTGGGACTTACATGTAATCCGAGCTAAAGATAGGTGTAGGGATCCCAGCATAGTGGTGGTAGCTGAAGCCATAGCAGTAGAAGGGAGCCTCCAGGGAGGTTGTGTAGAGTAAGGAAGAGGTGGGCTGGAAACCCTGTCATTTAAGGGGTAAGCAGAGGACAAGAAACCAGAAGACTGTGAAGGAGGAATCGGACTGGGGAGAGTCCAAAGACAGTGGCGTCTGGGAAGTGAAGGAGGAGAGTTTGTCCATAGAGTCCAATGCTGGGAAGAAGACAAAGAAATGAAGGCCGGAAATAATGTGTTGGGTTTGGTCTTAGGAATCGTTAATGGTGTTTGCTATGCAGTTCCAGTGAAGGGATTGGGGAAAGCACAGATACAATGTGGGAAATAAGGGGGGGAGATATGAGAATGTGGGGAGAGTGCCATGGATGCTCTAAGCATGCAGCTGTGAAGGGACTGATGAAACCTTAGCTCCAGCTTGTGTCATGAGTCATGCATTGAAAACTTATTGACTCCCTGTGAGTTGGATGGCATGAATAAGGCACAGCCAGGGCCCTCAGAGTTCTCACCATCTGCTGGACAGACCAGCCAGGGAGCCAGCACCACCACACAATGGTGCATGAGTTAGGCTGCATGAGAGGGGGCACCACACACTCAACAGGGCATGCGATTTGAAGGCTTGCAGGAGGCCCTTCTGATGTGATTCGTTTTTGTTGTTGTTCAAGTATCTTAACATACAGCGTTAAATTCGTTTCAGGTGTGTAACGATTCAGTACTTCTGTACATTATTCTGTGCTCATCACAAGTACACTCTTTAATCCCCTTTATCTATTTCACCCAATCGCCCACCCACTTCCCCTCTGGCAACCACCAGTTTGTTCTCTGTATTTAAGGGTCTGTTTTTTGTCTTTTTTTTTTTTTTTCTTTCTTTGCTCATCTGTTTTGTTTCTTAATTTGCACATATGAGTGAAAGCATATGGTATTTGTCTTTCTCTGACTGTGTTTCTCTATTTCACTTAGCATTATACCCTCTAGGCCCATCCATGTTGTAACATAACATAATAAAATAAAATTTAAAAAAATAAATAAATATATAGGCATTCAAAGGCTGTAGAGGTGAGAGACTTTTGTTTCCTTGCTGATAAGGAAGTAACAAAAATAATTTCTTTTTTATGTAAGACTATTAAAATTGAGAAAATGATCTAAAAAATGGTCAGATTTCGTTCTTTTATATGGCTGAGTAATATTCCATTGTGTATATATACTATTTCTTTATCCATTTGTCTATTGATGGACATTTGGGTTGCTTCCATATCTTCACTATTATAAATAATGCTGCAATGAACATAGGGGTGCCATATATCTTTTCAAATTAGTGTTTTTCTTTGGGTAAATGCCCAATTGTGAAGTTGATGGCTCATATGGTATTTCTATTTTTAATATTTTGAGGAACTTCCATACTGTTCTCCACAGTGGCTGCACCAGCTTGCATTCCCACCAGCAGTGCACGAGGATTCCTTTTTCTCCACATCCTCATCAACACTTGTTTCTTGTGTTTTGATTTTATCCATTCTGACAGGTGTAAGGTGATATTTCATTGTGGTTTTGATTTGCATTTCCCTCATGATGAGTGATGTCGAACATCTCTTCATGTGTGTCTGTTGGTCATCTGGATGTCTTTGGAGAAATGCCTATTCAAGTCCTCTGCCCATTTTTTAATTGGGTTATTTGGTTTTTTGGTGTTGAGTTCTACAAGTTCTTTAGGTAGTTTGGATATTAATGCCTTATCAGATATACCATTTGTAAATGTCTTCTCCCATTTATAGGTTGTCTTTTTGTTTTGTTGATTATTTCCTTTGCTGTGCAGAAGCTTTTTAGTTTGATTAGTCCTAATAGTTTAATTTTGCTTTTGTTTCCCATACCTCAAGAGACATATCTAGAAAAATGTTTCTACAGCCAATGTCAAAGAGATTACTGCTCATGTTTTCTTCTAGGAATTTTATTTTTTCAGGTCTCACATTTAGGTCTTGAATACATTTTGAGTTTATTTTTGTGTATGATGTAAAAAAGTAGTCCAGTTTTCCCAGCACCATTTGTTGAAGAGACTATCTTTTTCCCACTGTGTATTCTTGCCTCCTTTGTCATAGATTAGTTGGCCATAAAAGCGTGGGTTTATTTTTGGACTCTATTCTGTTCCATTGATCTGTGTGTCTTTTTTTGTGCCAGTGCCATACTGTTTTGATGATTGCAGCTTTGTAGGGTATCTTGAAATCTGGGATTGATTTTATCCAGCTTTGTTCTTATTACTCAAGATTGCTTTGGCTATTTGGGACCTTTTGTGGTTCCATAGAAATGGGATTATTTGTTCTCATTCTGTGAAAAATATTGTTGGTATTTTGATAGGGATTGCATTAAAGGTGTAGATTGCTTTGGGTAGTATGGACATTTTAGCAATATTTGTTCTTCCAGTCTATGAGCATGGAATGTCTTTGTGTCATCTTCAATTTCTTTCATCAGTGTTTTATAGCTTTCAGAGTACAGATCTTTCACCTCCTTGGCTAGGTTTATTCCTAAGTATTTTATTATTTTGAGTGCAATGGTAAATAGAATTATTTTCTTAATTTCTAATTCTGCTACTTCATTATTAGTGTATAGAAATGGAACAGATTTCTGTATATTGATTTTGTATCCTGTGACCTTTCTGAACTCATTTATCTATTCTAGTAGTTTCTCAGTGGAGTCTTTAGGATGCTCTATGTGTGGTATCATGTCATCTGCAAATAGTGACAGTTTGATTTCACCCTTACCAGTTTGGATGCCTTTTCTTTTTGCTGTGGCTAGAATTTCCAGTACTATGTTGAATAGAAGTGGTGAGAGTGGGAAAAAAGAAAAAAATGGTAAGAGTGGATATCCTTATCTTGTTCCTGATCTTAGAGGAAAAGCTCTGTTTTTTACCCTTAAGTATAATTTCAGCTGTGGACTTGTCATATATGGCCTTTATTATGTTGATGCGTGTTCCCTCTAAACCTACTTTGCTGAGGGTTTTTATCATGAATGGATGTTGTACCTTGTTTAATTCTTTTTCTCCATCTATTGAGGTGATCATATGGTAAAACCTTTCTCTTATTGATGTGATGTGTCAAGTTGATTGAATTGTGAATACTGAACTAACCTTGCATACTAAGAATAAATCCCACTGGATCATGGTGAATGATTTTTTTTAATGTATTGTTGGATTTGGTTTGTTAGTATTTTGTTGAGGATTTTTGCATCTTTTTCAACAGAAACGTTGGCTTATAGTTCTCTTATTTTGTAGTGTCTCTGTCTGGTTTTGGTATCAGGGTAATGCTGACCTCATAGAATAAATTTGGAAGCTTTCCTTCCTCTTCTGTTTTTTGGAATAATTTGAGAATAGGTGTTAACTCAGGGAGCCTGGGTGAAACAGTCAATTAAACATCTGACTCTTGATTTCGGCTCAGGTCATGATCTCAGGGTCCTATGATCAAGCCCCACATCAGGCTTAGTGCTGAGCATGGAGCCTACTTAAGAGTCTCTCTTTCTCTCTCCCTCTGCCTCTCCCCTCACTCTCATGGGCTCTCTTTCTCTCTCACTTCAAAAGAAAAGAAAAGAAAAAAGAAGGAAGGAAGGAAGGAAGGAAGGAAAGAAGGGAGGAAGGGAGGAAGAAAGGAAGAAAATACTAAAAAAAAGGATAGGTGTTAACTCTTCTTTAAACAAGTGGTGGAATTCACCTGAGATGCCATCTGGTCCTGTACTTTTGTTCGTTGGGAATTTTTAAGTTACTGATTCAATTTCATTGCTAGTATTCAGTCTGTTCAAATTTTTCATTTCTTCCTGATTCAGTTGTGGGAGGTTACATGTTTCTAGGAACTTATCCATTTCTTCTAAGTGTCCAATTTGTTGGCATAAAATTTTTCGTATTCTCTTATAATCTTTCGTGTTTC